TATTAACCTATATAATCCTCCAAATTTTCGGTTTCATTTTGTTTAAAGAACACCTTTAAAAAAATTTTTTTAAAAAATGACTCAACCAATAAATCAACCATTTGGTCAACCTTTGATACCTCAAAACGTTAATATTCCTATCAATCAAACAGTTGGTCAACCTTTGATACCTCAAAACGTTAATATTCCTATCAATCAAACCGTTGGTCAACCTTTAATACCTCAAAACGTTAATACTCCTGTAAATTCATCCGTTGATAATCTTGAACAAAGGTATAAAATTTTAACTGAAGGCACAAATCCGTTTACTAGTGCCAAAGCAGAAGGAACAGAAAACCAGGTAGTTTATCAATTTCAGGATGCTATTGTTTCAGGATTTGGGTAAGCAAAAATTATGATTTTTTTTCACTAAACTTTCAAAAAAAAAAAAAGGTTAACATGTTTCTCTTTTTTTATTGAATCATTAATTAATTATGTATGTAATTACTTTCATGTATGCAGTGAATCTGTTTTAAATCTTTAACTATATATTTTACTTTTATGCGGATTATAGCTTAAGATTATAAATAGGAGAAAATGAAAACAGAGAAATTTTTTATTCTACTTTTTCATAAATTTCACTATTCTTTAAACCACAATATGTACGATAATTGCCAATTTGCAGGCAAATTTGTTTTAACTAATAAAGTTAGTAACAAAAGTGGTTAATATAAATTCTAGTTGGTGTATTAACTAACAATCAATGGCTCAATACTAAAAGTAATGCTAATAAAATTAGATTCATTGAATCTCTTCTTAATTTCTTATTGACGTGCAAAAAATTTATGCAATTCTTGACGTTTTAACTTTATGATAATTATGATTAAAGATTTCTCGAGTTAAATATAGTTCACAATGTTCGACTAATTAAAGTTAAACATATTGAGAGTATATTGGGTCATATCGGCAAGCAACAACTATCGGTCTTTACCTATTACTTACAAATAAAATATGGTGTCGCTAAGGGAAAACCTGTAAGTACTGATACACACGATAATCAGTGGTTTAATGTTTCGATAACGTTTTGAATATACGTATGATATCATAATTTTTCGGAGATCCAGTACAGCAGTACCGGTGCAGTGAAATGTTAAACAGGTTTCTTTGCAGTACTCATGTGTGTATGATGCTTATTCACGCGATTTTTAATTTTCATTATCGTTAGGAGTTACCATCCAAACCCATTGTTTACCTTGAGGGGATTGTTTCAAATTCGGAGCGCGCCAAAGCAAAAATTGTATTACCGGGTACATAGAGGTTGTAAACAAACATTTATAAAAATCACATTACACAAAATAAATGCCATTATAAAAAAAATGATAAAAGTTATAAAAATCACATTCATAATGGAAGTCTTAAAGACATATTTGCAACAAAACATATCACATAATAAAGAAGTCATAAAAGATGCATTTATAAAAATGCATTATATAAAAATAACAGAAGTTGTAAAAGACGCATTCATAAAAAATGGATTATATAAAATAACAAAGTTGTATTTATAAAAATCGCATTAAATAAAATAACTAAAGTTATAAAGATATAAACAACGCATTACATAAAAATAATAATTGTGAAAAATGCAGTTTTAAAAATCACATTATCAATAACAAAGGCACAAAAGTAAACAAATCATGGAAAATGCATCAATAAAAAACGCATTAAGTCAAATCATGAAAAATGCATCAATAAAAACCGCATTAAGTAAAAATAATTCATACTTGTAAGAAAAAAGTATTCCGTAAAAAATATTAAGAGTCACGAAAGGCACAAAAAAGGATGCCCATCAAGGTTTCATTAAAAAAAAAAAAATATCATTTTAGTTTAGACGCCAGTTTCCTAAAAAAATGTAACATCCAAAAGCGAACAAACCTTCTTTAGAATATCCCCCTAAAAAAAATGCAATAGAATCTTTTCTATGTAAAATATATATTTTAATAATTGTTCTAATTATGATACAATCAAACAATTGAGACTTCTGAAACATTGATATTCACGTAAATCTATCCTTTGATAAACTTACTGCGATCAAATATGAAAATCATTAAAGATTAGCTATAGTGCAAAGAATAGGAGATCATGAGTCTCTTAATTATAGCTGTTATTTCTTTAGAACCTCTCTTCAAATAAGCAAAACATTATTATTATTTTACTAAAATACTATCTATAATTAACGAATCTTTACATATCTTATATAGCTTTTCTGATTATTTATGTATGGCTTATACGTATATATTTTTTATGTATTTTCTTTTCAAGCATGCGATACGTACTGTCTGATGTTCATGTATCACGGTATCACCAAGTTTATACGTAAGGGAGATCGAGTATTATGACGAATTATATATTATGCATCAATCAGAATTAAGTAATTTCAATTCATTTTAATAAACAAATCAAATGGTATCAAAATTATTCAATACCTTTATTTAAAAAATATAAAGTATTACGATAAGTAGGTATTGTGACAAATCGTGACATTTGCCGGACCAACTCTTGGGATTTGGAATTTGACCATGGAAATCGGACATTGGGATCGTCCAGCTGAGTTTAAAAATCTCAAATCCAAATAGTTTTATTCATCAAATTGTTGAGTTGAATTTTAAAATATCACATTAAATTGGATTATGTAATTGTAATTTTGATCACATGATGTATGGCTTTTGCGATCAAATTTTCGGCGATTTGAGGAGTTAAATTCGGATCATACATTCAAAACAAATAGTACAATACCCTAAGTGATTGATTAAAATCCCGAAGTTACCATATGAGTGCGTGAAAGTAACCAATCATAGTAAATTATTAAATCTATTTCCAGGTTTCCTCTTTCACGCACTCATATATAATTAATAAACAAGATGATCTGATCAACCCATTTGTTATGTGTCGCAAAAATACACATGTATCAAACATCTGGCATATCTTATGCATCCTATGTATGTTTTCGTACGTATGTATTCTATCTATCTTATGTATCATATATCTGATGTATCATATATCTTATGTATCATATATCTGATGTATCATATATCTTATGTATTATATATCTGATGTATCATATATCTTATGTATCATATATCTTATGTATCATATATCTTATGTATCATATATCTGATGTATCATATATCTTATGTATTATATATCTGATGTATCATATAT